GGAAGATTGACTGTATTTGCAAACGAGGTACTAATCTACCAGTAATATTCTGGTTCCAGCTTACACAAAACTGGAGTGGCAAAGCTCAAACATATGTTTACAGATTGAAAAATGATACGTGTGCATTCTTGAATCAATTCTTCGAATAATCCTTTGCGGAGAGCATAAATTGTCCGATAAGCTATTAACTTCAACTCTTATGGCTCTATAGTATCAGACTCTCTTCCTCCCGCTCGAAAAATTCATCCCCTCAAATCGATCATAATCTCAAGTCAGTATGTAGAATTTGAACGTAAAAATAGGCGAGGCACTATGACAGCCGGATTCATGAGGGGGGGGATATCCGTATTCGCGTCCGTTCCCAGGAAGGCGAATACAGTGCTCACGAGCAGAATAAATTAATCATTGTCAGTGTCGCAACTGGTTGACAATGGACAGGACTGTGTCCAACTGTAACGGCTAGAATTACTGGCGTTCATTGTATTGATAATGGCACACTTTGTTATGAGACGACTTGGTCCCCTCCCCACTGCACCAGGCACACACACGCTTCAAAGCTTAGATCGATTATCGGTGTGCACAGTACAAATCGCTCACAAATTAGAACCCGAGTGATGCACTTATTCGTTTCAACTTCTGTAGACTCTATGGTTGTATTCTCTAATTAATAACTTGCAAAATATGTCTGTTCGTTGGTAACAGTTCAATAGATTTACATCGGTCCGTTGATGCAATTTGCGCAACGTGAATCACTTTACTGGAGTAAGCAACTTAGAATTGCAAGCAATAATGATAAATAATGCGCCAAAAATGTTCTTTATGACCAAGTAAATATTTAATGCTATTCATTGTTTTTCGTTCATACGTCCCTGAATCGGTATTTCTCGGAAAGGTTCACTGAGACTGAATTTGTACGATTTCTTGTCGTTTATCCATTTCGGTTCTGAAACACTGTTTGTTTGTATTCGATTTTGCAGCCCGAAGATATTACATACATGAACTCACCCACAAAACTGTCCCTCGCATAATTTTTTTTGATAAATTTTCTAATCGTATGTAATCTTATATAAGCTTTCAATTGCCATTGATGTTTGAATAAATGTGCAATCAAATTGTTAGAGGTAGAAAGCAGCTAATTATTCTAGTGAAAATGTTGAACTAGGAAATAGGAAACTAGAATAGTTTATTATTTCACTCCTTATCACATAAAACAGTTGGATCCTGGAATTTGGCAAACACCTGGGCCGTTTATATTCACCCGGTCTACGGGTGAAAAATTATCTTACCCGTAAATGGCTGAACGGCACACGAACATTGACACATGTTTTATTAAATGCTTTGATCATCAACAGAACTGTTCGGATATCCTAAGTGTTTTTCGTCAACAGTGGAATAGTTCCGTCGTCTAACTTTGTTTCAACAAACTGTTTTGTATTCATGCTCTTTCAGGTCACCTAACGTGAAAATTTGTCAGCAAAATTGCTCTTAGTTGTTCACAAATTTACGCATTTTACATCTGCCTACTTATAGTTACATAAGTAGACAGACACTCTTCCGAATACTTTGTGCGAATCCGGTAATCCTAAGAGGTCATTGAAGGAAGAACCAACTTATCACTGCACATTTTGGGGTGTTTATGTGGCAGTAAGCTCTCTGAACCACGAGTTCGGGGCTGGATATCCCGTTAAAGTACATTTTGATCGGCGCTTCAGATTTGATCAGAACAGTTGGTTACCTGCTAGGCCATGTCATTACAAAAGCTCTTTTTGCTATATGTAAAAAAAGGCTGCAAACGCACATCATGCTGCATCACTGGTGTTCCATTTTTCACTTGTATCTTGTTTATTTCCCGTCAGTTCTTTGTGATACTGTTTCATGAGTTCTAGCACATTCGTTGGAGAATAAGTATTGAATGATTGCGAGATATCGACCGAAGGCGGTCTACTTTTAAGTAAACTGTCAGAATGACCATGTACGGTAGTGATTCTCCCGGAGTTCTCAGTTTGTCCATCTTGAGAGGGACGACAAACGAAACCAGGAACGTCATGAAAATCATCTTGAATCCTCGAATAAGTCATTATCCACGGATCAAGTAACAATTCGGAGGAAGAATACCTATAGGCAGGTTCGGGATGTAACACTCGCATTAGACATTCTTGAGCCGGGATAGATACGAAGTCCAGTGCGCGAATAGTAGCATCAGCATCAAATCCTAATAACTGTTCCAAAAACTGCTCTTAATTTTGCGTTGTATTGGGAAATTTATAGTCAAGTCAAGCCAAGAGTGTACTTTATTCATCCTTTGTGGACAGAACAGTGAAAAAATGTTGTCACTTTAGCTTTAGCATACATGCTATTTAAACATATGTCAATTTGTAAATAGCCTAAATGAGGAGGAGCGAGAACAGGTAGCAAATGCAGAAAATTGCAGCATCACAATTTAATTGAGACTGTGTATCAGATCGTTTAATATTCTTTCCCTAGAAAATAATAAACGAGAAAGTTAAGGTAAAACGGAATTATGAAAAGCTATGATGCGTGTGACAGAAGTGGAAATGGAGCGAGAGAGGATTGAGTGTGATGGATGTGATGCATCAGACCAAATTGAATCAAACAGACGGCCACACGCCTTAAGGTTTTAGTTGGCAATGGAATCAACCAGCTCCTCACAAGATACAGCTCCATGCTTTTCAGAGAGCATCTAATTAATATGAAATCTCTAGACAATAGATCGGGGAAGACAACGGGGGAGTAGAAGGTCCAAATGCATAAAACATAGGAGAAAATAAATTTACAAACGGCATACAATGGCATCCTCAGAAGTTGAAAGTGCGAAATGTAAAAGGTCAGTTTTTTAACTGTAAGAAATGTTTGTTGTACGTGGTAGGACCATTCGAGGTCAACAGACAGAAAACAACCCATACATTTTAAATGTTTTGACCTTTCAGCGTTTTAGATGTTAAACAATATGTTGGGAACAGAGAATCCGGAAAGTGTTGATGGCCTACACATAATGAAAAACAAAACTTCAATGCATTTTTGGGTTTAAGGAGAGTTTACCACAGTCGGACATTTCAGAAATGTAACTTATGGCCGATTGAATGGAGTTGTTTGAAAGGTTGTTGTTGGTTGCAAAATCGATCACTATGTCATCGGTAAATTTAAATGTAAAAACAGTTGAGATGATTGGTAAGTTTTGGATTTAAAGGGAGAACAGAATAGCGGATAAAATTGCTCCTTGCAATACACCTTGATTCACACTGAAATTGAAATGATAGACCCAAACTTATCTATTTCTTTATTAGGCACTGGAGTGATGCGAACATCACACTGTGTGTTAACTTGTCTACCTTTTGACAGACATGTATTAAAGATGAATGAAATAATTTGTGCGGTGGTTTGCACGCGTTTTGGACAACTAAGGGCAATCCATCAGGATCAGAGGATTTATCCCTTTTGACAGCATTAGACTCCTTTAAAATATACTCCGTTGTGAGAGTCGCGGGAGGATGAAAATCAAGTGAGCTTTTACTTGGTCTCGGTAATGTTTGCACAACACTATTCCCTGTAGCAAAAGATCGCTTGAGTTCATTCAGGTCACATGAATGACTGCAGTAGGTCGAGGTGAATGGCCGCAGAGCAACTTCAGTCCGTTCTATGGCTGATGGCCAGATTTGTCTTCTGGCACGGTGTTAATATACAATTGATTGAGATGGGCTATCTCTCTTCTGCTATGAAAGTTGACATATTTGACAGTCATTTTATCTCTTGAACGATACGCCTTCTCGTTCAGCCCACGTAACCATTTCAGCCTGTCAGAGATAAAGCGGTTGAGCTGCAGGTGAATCCTAACTTGATGACTGCATACATCATAACAAAAGTTGAAATCACTGGTGAGTTTTGCACAGAATAATGAAAACATGGGGACCGGAAAGTAGTTGTAAGTCCATAGAGACAACCATGGATTCTATTCCATCAAATTTGGCTGATGATGTCGTCATCTACGTATCTAACATGTAGTGTTCTTTGCGAGGACTTTTGTTTGCGTTTACCATATTTCATGAGAACACATGCCATATACCATATACCTTAGTTCATAGGTAATTAGGCACTGATTGGAATTTCCTACGAGTGCATGATTGAAGACAAGAAAAAAAGATAGTTCGTGATCGAAAAAGTGATCCGAAGAGGTATCATTCTGGGTGAAAAAACAAACAATCTTCTGCCGAAATATGATTTTGTGAATACTCATATCCGATCTGTTGGAATTAGAAACAACAGGTGTGACAAACTTCTCTAACATAATCGGATAAAATGTATCCAGCAGGGTGGATTAATCACTAGGATTACAATCAAGAGTGACTTAAAGATTGGAAATAGTGATCGAAGAGTGTTGCAGGAGTTAGCACGATTTACATTCCACATTAATACAACAAATGTTTTACGTATAGGTTTTAAATATGCATTTGGTACAGCTACATCGCGACTGGCGCACATATGTGAATACATCACCACCTTTCGTTTTCCTTCCTGGTGGTCCATCAACACAAAATAAATGGAATCTTTCCATCTGAACCAATTCGTCCTCGATCAATGAATGTAGCCAAGATTGCAAACGTAACATAAATTTTGGAGCACTCCCCGTTGTGGATCAGGAGACCGATGTTTGATAACCTTGCGAAAACTGAGCAGACATTCGACGACAAAATGATAGAAAAACCAATGGACTTCATGTTTCTGTGCTCTAGCTCAAATTTTCAGCTAGCAGGATGTTTTCTCGGTTTTCCAATTGATTGTCTGCTGATCCTTTTAACTTTATTTCTAAAAAACGAGCAAAAGCAAGGACGAGTGAATGATATTTTCCACAGATACTCATATGGGAATTTAACTGCGCGCGTTGTAGGTAATCATAAAGGTCACGGTAATTAACACAAAACTAAATCCAAAGTTGATGTGGTGGAAAAAGCTCCAGTGATAACAGAAAAATAGCAAGGCCATATTCAAAGGCCCCACCAAGAAGCGTAGCACGAGGCCAATAGTTGACACTTTAGTATGCCCAGGCTCCAAACGTCATACGGTTTGGTATAGGGCTTTTCGGTTAGTACTTCTGGAACCATATACATGGGAATACCACCAGACTCTGCTAAAACCTCTTCGTTTTTACGAAGTTCGATTGCAAGACTAAAATCGGTTAGTTTAGTTCGAAGTTCCACGGGAGCTGTTTTTACCGGCAAAACTTGATCGCGTGCGCTGATACGATTAGCATACGGGGCACTATTTGCATGTGAGATCGACGTGATGGACTTGCGACCTGTTTGCTGCTGTTGACCGTGTGGGGACGTTTGTTGATTTTGTGTCTGATGATGGAAGAGAGGCATCGAAGGATCATCCGTTCCGTTTGCCGCAGCCACAAGCAATAGCGATGAGTTTGGATGTTTAGCATTTGCTCGAGAGCTTCTTGATCGTACAGCTGCTCGTGGTGCGGCAGGTTTTCTCCCTACTTTCTCGGTGATTTGGTAATCCGTAATAACTGGAACGGTGGGAGCGATGTA